GCCTTCACATTTGTCACAAATCACATTCTTTTGCAGAGCCAGTTTTCTTGTTGCACCATTATATAAATCTCTAAGGTTACTGAGAGCTGATGTACAACATTTTTACCTCTCCTTTCTCTTGCATCCTTCCTCCTCCTCCAAAAAATATCAAAGATGTCCATCGGAGCCAAAACCGCCACCTGCTCCACCCTCTTTAATTGCCTGTTCTCTCCTTTGTCATATAGTTCCCTTTTCTTGCATCAGAGAGAACTTCGTAAGCTTGAGAAATCTGTTTAAACTTCTCTCCTTCATTTGGATTCTTATCAGGGTGGTACTTCAAGGCCAGTTTCCTATAAGCCTTTTTCAACTCTTCATGAGTGGCATTGGTTTGACCCCCAAAACATCATAGTAAGTGGTTTCTTTCACCATTTTCTACAGCCGGTGAGCGGGCTGAGGCGGACGTGGAGGAGCGGGAAGGAGCGTGTAGCCGTGCGGCAGCTTGGGCAGCTGCTGCTCCTCCACCTCTCACCGAGAGTTCTGGAAAGTTCCGCTATTTTTTTTTTATTTTTATTATTATTTATCTCAGCCTCCCAAGTAGCTGGGACTATAGGCATGTGCCACCACGCCTAGCTAATTTAGTAGAAACGGGAGTCTCGCTCTTGCTTGGGCTGGTCTCGAACTCCTGACCTTGAGCAATCCTCCCACCTCGGCCTCCCAGAGTGCTAGGATTACAGGCGTGAGACACTGCACCTGGCCCCCAAACAGAAACCTTATAAACATGAATTAACTTCCCTTTCCACCTCCCCCCTGGCTCCACTGCTTTGATATCCTCTAACACTTTCTGCCTCAATGAATTTTCCTAGATCCTATATCCATGGTTGGTTCCAGGACCTTCCTTGGATACCAAAATCTGAGGATGCTCAAGCCCTTCATATAGGGGTTATCTGTAAAAATTTTTGAATGTCCTTTAAAAAACATTCTTAAATGCATTATAATGTACGTACATTGTAGAAATTTTTAGAATTAGTAAATAAACCCAGTGAAAATTTAAATCTGTCACAAGCATTATCTTGAACACTTTTGATCAATTATACTTTTTGAACATCTGCTTCACATTCACAAAACATTGGCGTAGCTGTCTGGCACAAACTAAAACAATCCAGTGATAACAGGAGAGGAAGAAATTGTCAACTATGAATGTCACTGTGACAAGAAATACAAGGCTTGGGAACAATTTCTTACACAATTTTAGTTTCTCGTTTTTTAAACTCAAGTGTTCTCTCTCTGAGGCAAACTTAAGATACAGCCACTTGCAAGCTTGGAAATGTTTAAGCTTCTTGACTGCAGCAGAACCAGACAGACTATATAGGTAAAAAGTCCTCTTGTATTATTACTGCAATGTTGCAAAGTTTTCTAAGCCCCCTTTCCTTGGCTCATTACCAGTCTTCCACTTTACTCCTCACCTGGTTAATATTAAACATTTAACTATAGTTCAATAGTACTTCTTTGTATTACTTGTTTAACTAGTTAAAATGAGACCCCCATAATACGCTGAAATAAAAAAAAAACCAAAAACCAAAACTAGTTAAAATGAGAAGTTATGTATCTTAATTAGGTGAAAGGGCAATTCTTTGATTGTCTGAGGGGGGGGTGGGTGAAAAAAAGCCTGTGTGAGCACATTGGAAATGGTTGTAACCAGTATATTAAAGAGACATTCATACATTTCAAGAACTGTTTATATTCTGATACCCAGATTTAAGCATGTGAACACATCAATGAGACTTTTAAACATACAATTAAAGCTATTCATTGTTTGCTATACTACCAACATTGAATTACAGTTACTTGGAGCATAAGTCAAATGGTTTAAAGTAAGCCTGTAACATACCTAAAGAAGACCTTCCTATATTATGCATGCAAATTACCTCTCCATGTAAAGGTCTCTTCTTCAACTTCTAAATTATCCACTTTTGGAAGTTACTACTCAGGGGGCTTATCATGGTCCAAAGAGAAGAGGGAAAAAATAACCAAGACTGGTCAAGTTACATATATATGGATATATTTATATGGATGGCACAGAGGGAATGCAACTCTAGAAGTGCAAGCCTCAAGAAGCAGCATATTATGATAAACCCTTCTTTTGAAAGCGATCTTTTCTATCACTGATACCATGGGCTAGATTATGTAGTATGCCATCTTCAAGTAACAGCTGAGGCAAAATAAATTCAGAGGCATCACAATGAATCCCACCTAATCAAATTAACTATACAGACCAACACGTGTCTACAAATTTAAGTTTTTTTTCTGATTGCCAGTTAAATACAGAGTTTTAATTTCATAGCTTAACAATGAAGGGTCACAATGAAGCCAGTACATCCACCTAGCATTTCAGTCTAAGCTTGTCCACATGCATAGATGAAATCAATTACAAGGTTTAGCCTAATAAATGCTAGGGGAACTTTTCTTAAAGTAATTTTTACAGGTATTAAATTCACCTTGCACACTGAAGTCATCATACATACAGGGCAAAGTCAGCTTTTATATTTGCGTTTATTTGTTTAACTTTTAAAACACTACTATAGTTGAATATTATAAAAACAATAGTAAGTAGTGAGCGTATTATGATTATAGTCCTTCACTCATTTCACTACTGCATATAAAATGTCAGCAGTGAGTCTCATTCACTGGCCTCATTAAGAGGTTTGACACTGAACACCACCTCTGGGATGATGTTCATCATCCTCATATACTTCTCCATTGTAATGGCGCCATCTCTCTTGATTTGGATCAAAGTCCACGAGTTCTACTTGATCCATTTCATCAGTCTCTTCTACTTCCTTCCTCTCAGGTAGGAGTTTTTCCAGCAAAGACAGTTTATCAGGAGAAAGAAAGCCATTTTCAGAAATTTACCTTAAATTCGATGATTAGGCGACCCTTTTCATATGGTTACGATAAATTGGCATGCCTTCATTTAGCACACACTTGATATCTCCATGCTTGACAATCTGACCTGGATGAGAGGTGATGACTATGGTTCGGTTGTCAAGAGTAGATATTGGCTTCTGGAAGCCACATAATGCTTCAACCAGCTGTATGTCCATACACATGAAAAGGTCTTCTCTCGTCGAGTAAAAACAGCATGGTCCTTCTGATCTAACACAATGATAATATTCTCCTTGGGCTCTGTCTATTCTCTCTAGGATTGCTTGAGCCCAGGAGTTTGAGGTTGCTGTGAGCTAGGCTGATGCCATGGCACTCTAGCCAGGGCAACAGAGTGAGACTGTTTCAAAAAAGTTTCTGTTGGGGTGATGAAGTTTAGGAAATAGTCATGATGGTTGCACAACATTATAAATAATGTCACTAAAGTGTACACATTGTTAAAACAGGAAATTTTGTTACATGTTTTTACCACAATAAAAAATCCTAAGGACACTAAAAAAATAATAAATAAAAAATAAAAATAAATAAACAAAGATCTTTCAATAAGTATAACATTGCTAAGTGATAAGAGAGCATTATCATAAGTCTAATTAGCAGTGTTTTTCTTCCTTATGGGCCCATAAAATGATGGTACATCTGTAATTAACGGGGTTGGATTCCATTAACTACAGTAGTGCCTCTTGTACTTTATACAAGAAAGACATTCCCCTCAGCCACTCAGCATCTTTATGGTTCAGCGCCCTGTCCTGGGTTGTAAACGCCTCCAGGGAAGTCTCTGTTAGTGATTAATCCAGGTATATAAACCTATAAAAGCTTTCTGTCATTCCCAGACATGTGTTTCTACAAGTGAAGTGTTGCATCAAAATTGGGAGTCTTTAGCTTTTGGGGGAGGATGTAGTGGATCAGATACGCTGTGGTTTGGATATTGGGAGCGATGACAGTTTTCTACTTTCTGTCCCCTGACTCTTGAGAGCCATGGGTTACCCTCCAGGGAGATTTGAGTGAGAGGAAAGCAAAAAGCATTGGTAAAAATATTGGATGCCGAATGGTTTTCCCCCCTACATACATAAACACAAGACATTGTGTTTATGGGAGAGCAAAGCACCCTGAGCTCTGCATCTGCACAACATAGTGACACTGCTTCTTCCAATGGAGCTGCCATATTTGCCAGGACTACTAGAGTCTCAATAGATGTAATAAAACCCACAGCTAAATTTTCCAAAAGTGACTTCTTTTGGATTTGGAGACATTATTTAATAAAACAATTAAAACACCCTTTATCAAAGTATCTCATAAAACACTAGTTCCAATTATAGTCAATCCTCATCTTATTTCTTCCTAAAAATGTTTAATATTTTTCTATCTCCTATTAATACAAATTAAAATTATATGCTAGCTGGGGGAACTATTAGTTATTTTACACACACATACATATATTATTGTCATTTTTTTCCTTAAAAATATATGAAAAACTTTGATCACAATGGGTTTTTTTTGTTTGTTTTTTTTACGCCCAAGTGTTTTGTGAATGTGAAGCAGATGTTCCAAAAAGTATAATTGATCAAAATGTTCAAGATAATGCTTGTGACAGATTTTAATTTTCACTGGGTTTATTTACTAATTCTAAAATTTCTACAATGTACGTACATTATATAGCATTTAAGAATCTTTTTTAAAGGACATTCAAAAATTTTTACAGATAACCCCTATATGAAGGGCTTGAGCATCTCCAGATTTTGGTATCCAAGGAAGGTCCTGGAACCAACCATGGATATAGGATCTAGGAAAATTCATTGAGGCAGAAAGTGTTAGAGGATATCAAAGCAGTGGAGCCAGGGGGGAGGTGGAAAGGGAAGTTAATTCATGTTTATAAGGTTTCTGTTTGGGGGCCAGGTGCAGTGTCTCACGCCTGTAATCCTAGCACTCTGGGAGGCGAGGTGGGGGATTGCTCAAGGTCAGGAGTTCGAGACCAGCCCAAGCAAGAGCGAGACTCCGTCTCTACTAAATCTATATAGAAAAAAATTAGCTAGGCATGGTGGCACATGCCTATAGTCCAGCTACTTGGGAGGTGAGGCAGAAGCAGAGAAAGGAGAGGTAAAAATGTTGTACATCAGCTCTCAGTAACCTTAGAAGATTTATATAATGGTGCAACAAGAAAACTGGCTCTGCAAAAGAATGTGATTTGTGACAAATGTGAAGGCCGAGGTGGTAAGAAAGGAGCAGTAGAGTGCTGTCCCAATTGCTGAGGTACTGGAATGCAAATAAGAATTCATCAGATAGGACCTGGAATGGTCCAGCAAATTCAATTAGTGTGCATGGAGTGCCAGGGCCATGGGGAACGGATCAGTCCTAAAGACAGATGTAAAAGCTGCAATGGAAGGAAGATAGTTCGAGAAAATAAGATTCTAGAAGTTCATATTGACAAAGGCATGAAAGATGGCCAGAAGATAACATTCCATGGTGAAGGAGACCAAGAACCAGGACTAGAGCCAGGAGATATTATCATTGTGTTAGATCAGAAGGACCATGCTGTTTTTACTCGACGAGGAGAAGACCTTTTCATGTGTATGGACATACAGCTGGTTGAAGCATTATGTGGCTTCCAGAAGCCAATATCTACTCTTGACAACCGAACCATAGTCATCACCTCTCATCCAGGTCAGATTGTCAAGCATGGAGATATCAAGTGTGTGCTAAATGAAGGCATGCCAATTTATCGTAGACCATATGAAAAGGGTCGCCTAATCATCGAATTTAAGGTAAATTTTCCTGAAAATGGCTTTCTTTCTCCTGATAAACTGTCTTTGCTGGAAAAACTCCTACCTGAGAGGAAGGAAGTAGAAGAGACTGATGAAATGGATCAAGTAGAACTAGTGGACTTTGATCCAAATCAAGAGAGACGGCGCCATTACAATGGAGAAGCATATGAGGATGATGAACATCATCCCAGAGGTGGTGTTCAGTGTCAAACCTCTTAATGAGGCCAGTGAATGAGACTCACTGCTGACATTTTATATGCAGTAGTGAAATGAGTGAAGGACTATAATCATAATACGCTCACTACTTACTATTGTTTTTCTTATAATATTCAACTATAGTAGTGTTTTAAAAGTTAAACGAATAAACGCAAATATAAAAGCTGACTTTGCCCTGTATGTATGATGACTTCAGTGTGCAAGGTGAAATTTAATACCTGTAAAAATTACTTTAAGAAAAAGTTCCCCTAGCATTTATTAGGCTAAACCTTGTAATTGATTTCAGCTATGTATGTGGACAAGCTTACACTGAAATGCTAGGTGTATGTATTGGCTTCATTATGACCCTTCATTGTTAAGCTATGAAATTAAAACTCTGTATTTAACTGGCAATCAGAAAAAGAAAACTTAAATTTGTAGACACATGTTGGTCTGTATAGTTAATTTGTATTAGGTGGGATTCATTGTGATGCCTCTGAATTTATTTTGCCTCAGCTGTTACTTGAAGATGGCATACTACATAATCTAGCCCATGGTATCAGTGATAGAAAAGATGCCTTTCAAAAGAAGGGGTTTATCATAATATGCTGCTTCTTGAGGGCTTGCACTTCTAGAGTTGCATTCCCTCTGTGCCATCCATATATAATATATCCATATATATGTAACTTGACCAGTCTTGGTTATTTTTTCCCTCTTCTCTTTGGACCATGATAAGCCCCCCTGAGTAGTAACTTCCAAAAGTGGATAATTTAGAAGTTGAAGAAGAGACCTTTACATGGAGAGGTAATTTGCATGCATAATATAGGAAGGTCTTCTTTAGGTATGTTACAGGCTTACTTTAAACCATTTGACTTATGCTCCAAAGTAACTGTAATTCAATGTTGGTAGTATAGCAAACAATGAATAGCTTTAATTGTATGTTTAAAAGTCTCATTGATGTGTTCACATGCTTAAATCTGGGTATCAGAATATAAGCAGTTCTTGAAATGTATGAATGTCTCTTTAATATACTGGTTACAAACCATTTCCAATGTGTGTCACTACAGGCTTTTTTTTCACCCCACCCCACCCCCCTCAGACAATCAAAGAATTGGCCCTTTCACCTAATTAAGATACATAACTTCTCATTTTAACTAGTTTTGGTTTTTGGGTTTTTTTTTTTATTTCAGCGTATTATGGGGGTCTCATTTTAACTAGTTAAAACAAGTAATACAAAGAAGTACTATTGAACTATAGTTAAATGTTTAATATTAACCAGGGTGGGGAGTAAAGGTGGAAGACTGGGTAATGAGCCAAGGAAAGGGGGCTTAGAAAACTTTGCAAACATTGCAGTAATAATACAAGAGGACTTTTTACCTATATAGTCTGTCTGGTTCTGCTGCAGTCAAGAAGCTTAAACATTTCCAAGCTTGCAAGTGGGCTGTATCTTAAGTTTGCCTCAGAGAGAGAACACTTGAGTTTAAAAAAGGAGAAACTAAAATTGGTGTAAGAAATTGTTCCCAAGCCTTGTATTTCTTGTCACAGTGACATTCATAGTTGACAATTTCTTCCTCTCCTGTTATCACTGGACTGTTTTAGTTTGTGCCAGACAGCTACCCCAATGTTTTGTGAATGTGAAGCAGATGTTCCAAAAAGTATAATTGATCAAAAGTGTTCAAGATAATGCTTGTGACAGATTTTAATTTTCACTGGGTTTATTTACTAATTCTAAAAATTTCTACAATGTACGTACATTATAATGCATTTAAGAATGTTTTTTATTTATTTATTTTTTTTTTAGTTTTTGACTATTTTTTTTTCTTTTCTTTTTTTTTTTTATTTTGGTATATTATGGGGGTACAGATTTTAAGGTTTCAATAAATGCCCATTTCCCCCCCTCCCCCCAAAAGTCTGTCTCCATCATGACCATCCCCCAGATGGTGCACATCTCACTCACTATGTATGTATATACCCGCCCCCCTCCCCTAAGAATGTTTTTTAAAGGACATTCAAAAATTTTTACAGATAACCCCTATATGAAGGGCTTGAGCATCCTCAGATTTTGGTATCCAAGGAAGGTCCTGGAACCAACCATGGATATAGGATCTAGGAAAATTCATTGAGGCAGAAAGTGTAGAGGATATCAAAGCAGTGGAGCCAGGGGGGAGGTGGAAAGGGAAGTTAATTCATTGTTTTATTAAGGTTTTTCTGTTTGGGCGGCCAGTTGCAGTCTGTCCTCCTGCATCCTAGCACTCTTGGAGGCGGACCGGTGGGAGGATTGCTCAAGGGTCAGGATTCGAGACCAGCCCAGACAGAGCCCGAGACTTTTCCCGTTTTACTAATCTTATATAGAAAAAAATTAGCTAGGCATGGTGGGCACATGGCCTATAGTCCCAGCTACTTGGGAGCTGAGGCAGGAAGGATGCTTGAGCCCCAGCGAGTTGAGGTTGCTGTGAGCTAGGCTGATGCCATGGCACTCTAGCCAGGGCAACAGAGTGAGACTGTTTTCAAAAAGTTTTCTGTTGGTGATGAAGTTTGAATGTCATGATGGTTGCACAACATTATAATAATGTCACTAAAGTGTACACATTGGTTTAAAACAGGAAATTTTTACATGTTTTTACCACAATAAATCCTAAGACACTAAAAAATAATAAATAAAATAAAAATAAATAAACAAAGATCTTTCATAGTATAACATTACTAAGTGATAAGAGAGCATTATCATAAGTCTAATTAGCGTGTTTTTTCTTCCTTATGGGCCCATAAAATGATGGTACATCTGTAATTAACGGGGTTGGATTCCATTAACTACAGTAGTGCCTCTTGTACTTTATACAAGAAAGACATTCCCTCAGCCCACTCAGCATCTTTATGGTTCAGCGCCCTGTCCTGGTTGTAATGCCTCCAGGGAAGTCTCTGTTAGTGATTAATCCAGGGTATATAAACCTATTAAAGGCTTTCTGTCATTCCCAGACATGTGTTTCTAAAAGTTGAAGTGTTGCATCAAAATTGGGAGTCTTTAGCTTTTGGGGAGGATGTAGTGGATCAGATACGCTGTGTTTTGGATATTGGGAGCCCGATGACAGTTTCTCTATTTCTGTCTCCCTGACTCTTGAGAGCCATGGGTACCTCCAGGAGATTTGAGGTGAGGAGGAAGCAAAAAGCATTGTAAAAATATTGGATGCAATGTTTCCCCCCTACATACTAAACACAAGACATTGTGTTTATGGAGAGCAAGCACCCGAGCTCTGCATCTGCACAACATAGTGACATGCTTCTTCCAATGGAGCTGCCATATTTGCCAGGACTACTAGAGTCTCAATAGATGTAATAAAACCACAGCTAAATTTTCAAAAGTGACTCTTTGGATTTGGAGACATTATTTAATAAACAATTAAAACACCCTTATCAAAGTATCTCATAAAACACTAGTTCCAATTATAGTCAATCCTCATCTTATTCTTCTCCTAAAAATGTTTAATATTTTCTATCTCCTATTAATACAAATTAAAATTATATGCTAGCTGGGGAACATTAGTTATTTTACACACACTACATATATTATTGTCATTTGTTTTCCTTAAATATATGAAAACTTTGATCACAATGGTTTTTGTTTGTTTGTTTTTTGTTTTTGTTTTGTTTTTTTTTTGAGACAGAGTCTCGCTTTTGTTGCCCAGGCTAGAGTGAGTGCCACTGGCGTCAGCCTAGCTCACTAGCAACCTCAACTCCTGGCTCAAGCATCCTCCTGCCTCAGCTCCCGAGTAGCTGGACTACAGGCATTCGCCACCATGCCCGGCTAATTTTTTTTATTATATATATTTAGTTGCAAAATTTCTTCTATTTTATAGTAGAGACGGGGTCTCGCTCGTCAGGCTGGTTTCGAATCTGAGCCTCGGCAATCCGCCGCGCCTCGGCCTCCCAGAGAGCTAGATTACAGGCCGTGAGCACCGGCGCCGGCCCTGTTGTTTTTTTTTTTTTGAGACAGAGTCTTGCTCTGTTGTCTGGGCTAGAGTGCCGTGGCGTCAGATCATAATGGCTAATGGAATTAATGGTGCTATTTCTGAAAATTTTATGTCTTTTATTTAATTATTTCCAAAAGCTAACACCAGAATTCAATGCACATACTCATTTACTGAACAAATACTGTGTCTTTTAAAAATCATTTTGTCCTTTCATAAATAACTGATAATTTTAGCTGTGTATTACACTATATTATTGCAAATAAAATAATAAGAAATGGCATATAGATTTATTGTTGTTCCTGTAGTTTTATATAAAAATAGATTAATTATGAGTACTGTGTTATTATAGTATTATTCTGACTGCTTTTAGTAAACTATCTTTACAAATGCATTTTGAGTTGCTTTGTTTTGTTTTGTTTTCTTGAGACAGGATCTCTCTCTGAAGCCTGGACTAAAGGGCAGTGGTGTCATCAGAGCTCCCTGCAACCTCAAGTGCCTGGGCTCAAGTGGTCCTCCTGCCTCAGCCTCCAAGTATCATAACTGGGACTATAGGCTTGCACCACCACACCTGGCTAATTTTTTTTTTTTTATGTAGAGATGGGGTCTTACTATGGTGCCCAGGCTGGTCTCTAACTCCTGGTATCAAGTGATCCTCCCACCTCAGCCTCCCAAAGTACTAGGCTTACAGGTGTAAGCCACTATGCCCAGCCTGGCTTAATCTTTAACAAGGAGGACTATCTTATACGGTGGACATTTTATATAAATTAAATGAGTAAATGTGTAGTTTTATGATTTTAACAAATAGTATGAGAGAACATAAAAGCATTTTATCAAAGTATGTTGCATTAGCAAAGTATATTAAAATTTTAAAATTTAGGCCAGGCACCATAGCTCACGCCTGTAATCCTGGCACTCTGGGAGGCCAAGGCAGGAGGATCATTGAGGTCAGGAGTTTGAGCAAAGCAAGACCTACTAAAAATAGAAAAGATTAGCTGTGCATGGTAGCACCCGCCTGTTGTCCCAGCTACAGAGGCTGAGGCAGGAAGATCGCTTGAGCCCAGGAGTTTGAGGTTGCTGTGAGCTAGGCTGATTCCACAACACTCTAGCCTGGGCAACAGAGCAAGACTCTGTCTCAAAAAAATAATTAAAATTTAGTATTAGGTTGACACAAAGTATTTGCGATTTCAGACCGTGAATTTTAAATCATTGTAACTAGGCTCAAACATGTCTTTATTAATCAAATAGGAACCATCACAATCGACACGTGTTTGCCAACAAGAAATAAGTTTGTTTATTCCTGTAGCATAAAAATCTGTACTTGAGATTCCACAAACTCTTGGAAAGCATTTTTTGCATCCTGCTGGTTGTGGAAGCATTTTCCCTGCAAAAAGTTGTGGAGATGCTTGAAGAAGTGGTAGTCGGTTGGCGAGAGGTCAGGTGAATATGGTAGACAAGGCCAAACTTCATAGCTCAATTCATTCAACTTTGGGAGCGTTGGTTGTGCAACATGCGGTCAGGCATTGTTGTGGAAAAGAACTGGGTCCTTTCTGTTTACTAATGCCATCTGCAGGCGTTGCTGTTTTTGGTGCATCTCATCGATTTGCTGAGCATACTTATCGGATGTAATGGTTTCACTGCGATTCAGAAAGCCATAGTGGATGGGACCGGCAGCAGACCACCAAACAGTGACCATGACCTTTTTTGGCTCAAGTTTGGCTTTGGGAAGTGCTTTGGAGCTTCCTCTCCAAAGTTCAACCACTGAGCTAGTCGTCACCAGTTGTCCTATATAATCCACTTTTCCTCGCACGTCACAATCGGATCGAGAAATGGTTTGTTGTTGTGTACAAGAAGAAGACAACCTTCCAAAACAATGATTTTTTTGATTTTCGGTCAGCTCAGGAGGCACCCGCTCATCTAGCGTTTTCACCTTTCCAATTTGCTTCAAATGCCGAATGACAGACCGTAGAATGGTCAACACATTGAGTTCTTCGGCAGCTTCTCATGTAGTTGTAAGAGGATCAGCTTTGATGACTGCTCTCAATTGGCCGTGTTAAACTTCCGACGGCTGGCCACTGCG